ACCAAGAAAATCAAGAGAATACCAGCTCAACTCTTCTTAGGTTAATTTGGTGTCAATCAGTTGTTCAGAGGAGGAAAGCGTGAGTGAGTGAGTGCAAAGATTGCTCTTCAGTCAGGGGAAAAAAAATCCTGGAACATGTTCAGCATAGCTTAGAGAGCAAGCTTATGTAGCTTATATAGCAACATAGCTGGAACGTGCTTATGGCAAGCTGAGGATTTACACCAAAGCTGTAACTGTACATTGTCAAAATACAGGTGTCCTTTAGCTCTATGCTAATGTCTTTAGTTATTTGAACTGAATTGGAAAATCAAAAGTGCTATCCAGCATATGTAACTAAAATATCAGAATATTTGTGTTCGTAATAAGGCTTCTTCTGTAGTAAGATTTCATCTCCTGCATGTTTAATGAAGGACGTGATAGAAGAAGCCCAAGGATGACCATCTCAGGTAACCAATACAGAAACACAGATGCTTTTAGGATATGATGGAATCTCTTAGAATAGCTWCTTTGGGATAGGATGAATCACAGCCCACAAATGCCTATTTCTCTTCAGTGACTATAAAGAGAGAGGGGGAGTAGAGTGACTCAGTGAAATGTGGTTGTTTATATTTGGTCAAATATATCTCAAGCTAAGTGCATAAGGCTACAATCCAGAGGCAGCTCAGCTCTCCATGGCACCTGGTGTATGTGTCTCAAACATTCAGCTACAAAAGCCTAGTTGGAGTGAACTGCAGTTCTCCTCTGGCTGATGCCTTCATCACCCTCCCCAGCTGGAACCACCCTCTGAAGGAATGGTGCMCATGTACTTAGTTTTCATCCCGATGGGGAATTGGTGTCATCCTAAAATAAAGTCAGGATGCAGACTGGATCTGTGCCTGAACCCATGTGTTTGGATCTCACAATTTAGACATGGCTTAAGCTCCTTGTGCAAGCAAAGGAAGGAGAGAGAGCATTTGGAAGGCCTCCAGGAGCCACCTTAATTTTGGTAAGATTGATTTGTAACATGTAACTTGAATATGTGCTTGCTTCTGTGGAGTGTTTTCATTTTATATTTCTCCCAGCATATATGATTAAAATAGAATAGTTTTCCTTTCTGTAGAATAGTTTTCCTTTCTGTGCTCAGATAATTTCCAGTTTTCCTAGGCTAGGGAGATGTTGGGATGTCTTGGTTGTAGAAAGTTGAAATAGTTGAAAAGCCAGACTTAAAGTTCTTGTGATAAGTCTATTTTAGAAACAAAAATTAGACCAGTCCTTTCAGAACCTGTTCCCAGTTAGTAACTTGGAATTTTGATATTACTCGTTCAGTTTTTAACTTAATAAYGATTTCGACCATCACTTCAGCCCCAAAACAGAGATTGAGGTATTTTGCAAAAGCTGGCATCAGTGGTWTTATGCATGAGTGCCTAGTTTTAAAATCTTGGCAGCTGCTTTGACTTTTCTTTATGCTGTCATTCAGACCATAGCTACCAAAGCTGAATTTTGCTCGTAGTAACAGTTGTGGGAAGTTACTAAGGGAAGAGTCTTTTACTGACACAGGAAATAGTTTTGCAGTTCTTTTTGTCATTGCCAAACTTACCAAAATGTCACTGTTGCCACAGGTCGTCTAGGCACAGCTCAAAACTGTCTATCTGCTGCACTGAATGTCACATAAATTGCTTGGTGACTTCAGTGCTAATGTTAYATATGTTCCACCCTTGTTGCAAAACTCCCTTTAAATTGACAAGTTTTGTTGTTTCTGGAATTTGACCTAATTGTTATGATTCAAGAGTAAGGAAGGAAAAACTGTGTGGCTCCTGCATTTTTCAGTTCTCCTCTTTATTGTTTTCAAAATAGTCCACTTTTCCCCAAAAGCTATATCAAGACCATTCAYAAAATTGTGTGTAATAGTCACCATTAGGAGCATTTTTCCATTGTTTCATTAATTACAGGAGTATGTCAAGCAGAGCAAATGGCATTTTCTGAGTTGCAAATTTACCTTTTTTATTYTTTGTTGAGTTTGACATCAGAATTTCTCAGCTTCTCTAAGATTATGTTGTTTTGCAATTAAATATATAATATAGTTGTATAAATCAGATGGAAAATTGAAATTCTGGCCTTTTTCTTTGTAACTGGTATGAAAATGGGCCATTTGCCATTTTTTTTGAGAAAGAGCATATATTTTCTCTTGAACTTTTTTAATGGGTCTTAGCTAAAAGGTTCACAAATGGGATGTGATGTATTTTCAGCACACCCTATTGAGTTGAGGGGCTTCTCACCCTTTTTTACGGGATGATTTATAACATAATAATTAACATGAGGATCTGGGGGGGGTGCGTGGCTGCTAGTTGTGTGCTTATTGTTCAAGAGTCCCAGGAATGRTATCTGGAAGCACCTCAGCCCTGTTTGACCGCAGTTAAAGCTCTGCAGTGTTTGAAGACCAGTGCGTGCACAATGAAGCAGTGACGCTTGAAATTGGGTTGGCCAGGCAGTGCTGAGCCCTCACCTTTTGAGGGGTTGTGTTTGTGACTTGTCCTGGGTTTGTGGCGGGGAAGGGTTGAGGTGACTTGCAAGTTTTCTCCCTAATCTGGAACAAACTGATAGCCCACAGAAGCTCTTGGTGGGTGTTGTGGTGTGAATGTGCATGTGGTCTGTGGAGAGGGCAGCTGGCTCCTGGTGACTGATGCTGTGTTGTGTTACTCACTCTCCCTTGTCTGGCAAGGGCACCATCTTCTTCTGTGTTGTAACCTGCTTGACTGGATCAGCCAGACACTGGCTCTTGCTTCTATTCCTCCCTTTCCCCCTCATTACTTCCTCTTCTGTCCAGCCTCATGCCATGTTTTGGCCCACCTGACCTTTCTGAAGTCCCCTCTGCAGTGTGCTCTCAAGGGCATGTCTCACACTCCTCCGTGGGGCAGCAGCCGAAGGGTCATGAGAGCAACAGGCGAGGTTGTCTTCCTGCTGTCAGCTCCAATGTCTGGTCTCTGGCAGATGGGAGCAGCAGTTACAGGGGAAATCCTGCTAATCTCCTGTAACTTGAGCCCATTACATGCTCAGTTGCACTGTGGGGCTGKTGCCTTTCCAGCCGCATAGGGACTGATGGCTGAAGGAATAGGACAATAACCGCAGAACATTTTCTGAGATTTGCACTGTAGGGATCAGAAACAAAAATCAAAAAGATGGTGTGAATCAGCTGAATAATAGCAAGTTTTAAAGYTTGGTCAAATAGGAAAATATTTTCATATGCATAGCAAAAAACAAAGTCTTTATATATGAAATAAACACTCAAAAACAATATAAAAATGCAAGGGATCAGCATTTTGCCAAATTTCAAGACYGCCCCAACATGGGCAGAGGAGCCATAGTTCCCCAGTGAGTTGCAAGAATGGCAGAGCAACATGTTTTTGTCTAGGCTATCTCAGAAACAGACAAACTGTGTTTTGGCAGAAAAGTCAATAAAATCCTGCAGCAGATGTCCAGCATGGAAAATTTTTAACAAGGGCAGCTCAAGTTTGGCAAAGTCAAAAGAATGTRAAAAATCCTGATGAGATGCACTAAGCCATCTTAATAATGGGTGGAGTTACCACCCCTGTCCCCAGGGTCTCTCGAACCCACCAGAATCAACTATTTGGTTTTTTAGAGGAGGATTGTTTTGGGGTGATTTTTTTTTTTTATATAGGGCAGAATAGAGAAGAATGGAGGGGGTGATTGAACTGAAAATAAGGGTTGGCTGGCAGGAACCCTCTTGGCAGGAGCGTGTCTCAGCCATGCCTGAAAGGGGAGGGTTTTCACAAATTGTGTGGGAGATGGTGGAGCCCAAAGGAGAGTTGTTGCTTGCTGGATAGAAGAATAATGGATTTTTGGGAAGCTGTGTTTATAATATGCAAAATAGTTCATAGGAAACAATGGAGCCTTGGGACAGAGCTGCCAGTGAATGAGAGCTTTGTTTTCCTCTTGTCTATTCATATTTCTAAACTTTTAGTGGCATTTAAAACACATTTTACACATTTTTTGTGTAATGGCTTGAATTGCCTAAATTGCTGCCTAAAGTATTGTTGTACTGCAATCTTTATCCCTTTCTGGATAAAGACTGACTTTGAGCTTAAGCTCCTTTTTGTATTTTTCTTAATTGCAACTGTTGTTTAATAATCCTTGGCTGCTAAGTTCTCATGTTTCAGAACTTAAGAAAAATTTATAGGAAAACTGATTGACAGCAGACCTTGTGTACCAAGCGTATCGAGCTGCCCACAGCTTGACTTGAAAATGGCAACTGGTATCATAGTGCTTATGCCAGAACCTTGACACAAATGAACATCAGTTGCAAGCTAATTGCATGAACTTCAGTTTAAATGCTGTTGATGGGATTTGTCTGCCATGGATATGAATTAAAACACCATCATATAAATTGTGTTTTCATTGAGAAGCATCCMATACCTGCAGTCCCTAATAACTTGAAAAGATGTTTGCTTCTATTGCTATTAAATGCAGACACTGCACATAAGCTTATGCAGTATTAAACGAGAACATTACTGCCTGAATCGGAGTGTGTTTAAATCAGAGCATGTTAAAATAAAAGATAGATTATTTGATTTATTGTGGTGCATGGCTCAYCTTTACAACCAAAACAACATCACTGCAGTTTTGTAGCTCCCGAAATGTTGTTTGTGMATGCATTTACGATTAGCAAAAGCTTTGAAAATCCTTGTGCAAGAAATGGTGTAGCTGCTGTTGCAGTGGAGRGAAAGGGAGTTGCTTGCTTTTGCTGCGTTTGTTATTTCACTGAGCTATCGCTTTACCTCACCAGTAAAACTCTTTCCCTGCGTGAGGGAAATTCCTGGTTCATCGGTATGGATGCATTGTTTTTACACATTAGAAGTGCTGTGTTGCTGTGTCAATCATCCCGTTAGGATCAGTTTAAGAGCAGTAGGGCTGACGAAGCTGGGTGTGATTGGCTGCCATATGCTGGGAGGGCTCTGTGAGAAGGAAGGGCTGCAGTCTTTCAGCAACAGAGTTTAGGCTGTGTCTTTGCTTCATCATCTGAGGAAAAATCCCCAGATAAGTCACAAGGCTTACAGAGAAAAAAAAAAACCCAAAACATTACAGGCTGCTCATCGTTTCACGTGAGAATTAGTTACCATGATGCGATGGGAAAGATATGGCTGTTTGTTTATATCAGATGTTCCTGTTCACGTTGGGAATGTGTCGAATAGACAGGGCTAAACAAGGTAGGAGGATTGTTGTCTTTTATCGAATGTTTCAAGAGTTTGCTGCAGTATACTGCATACTGTATGTGTTGCTTGCGGGAGTCGGGGAAACACTGTTTCTCCCGTGAATAGATTCTGTTTGGGTGCAATARGTGGATTTTTTATAGGTAACTTGTTTTCAAAGGGTATTAATTTCCAGTGTAAATAGCTCTCTTCAGAAATAGAACATGAGTATATGCATATTAAAACAAGTAAAAAAAGAAATAGGTCAGTGTGTTTCAGAAGTGCTGCTACCCTAATTGGATTTTTAGCTGGGTTGTTGTCTGGAAGTGCAGCCCTAGCTTTAAGAAGGAGAAGGAGTCAACCTGGAAATCTGTGAAGTTTATAGCAGCTATGTTTGAAGATTTAGGTGAATTAGACTGGCTGATCTAAATAATTCCCTATCGGAAGCTTTAGCTAAAGCCAAGACTGCCTGTTTTAGATTTGTACGAGTATACAACGAGATTACAGTATTTTACCCTGTTATAAAAGTATGGGTGTTTTTGACTGTGCTGTGATTCCTTGCGCTCTTCAAGGAAAGCCGGTGGGAATTTTTCGTATTGTAGTTTAGCYTATTGTAGTTTATTGTAGAAAGCTGTCCTTTCCAGGTCTTTGTCTCAGCAGCAAAACAGAACCTGTACATGAAAACAAGGAAAACAAGGTTAATAATACGTGCTGCAATTATCTGATCTTTATACATTTTTAATGAGAGAACACACAGCTAGCAGAATAATTTAATGAGCAGGCTGGCTTTTAGAGCAATGATTTCACTGTGCTAAAGCACATCAACTTTCTTCCAGAGGAGGAGCCTCAGGAAAAATGGAGAAGATTTATGTTAAATGCTCTAGAGAGAAGGAAGAGATATTTAGGCAGAATTCTGTAAAATTCTGGAAGAAYAGGGTAAATTTTAGTTATTATGATTTATTAGATAGGAAGCAAACTTTACCATCATCTTGCGGGAGGGCTCTGAGAACATTTCCTCATCCTGTGGTATGCTGAAGCTTCTTCAACTTTCTCAGACTGCCATATGCATTGATGGTGCTCAGTACCTTTCGGGATGTCACCCGGTTAGTGACCTGAATTAACATGCTGACTTCAGTTGTGTTGTAGCAGCATCGTTTATGTGTGCAGTATACAATATAGTTGGGGTTTTAAAATTATTTTTCCCCTTAGATTAACAGTTGGTGAGACAGAAATAAAATGTTCTCTTCTTATTTATCCTTTGATAGCCACGTACATTGCTATAGATACTTGTATTCAAATAGGGTGTTGATAGAAAARATAAGTATATGTACTGAGAAAGATTAAAGATCAATTTCTTACAGAGAAATCAGGTAGAATTGCATATTCTGATCAGGATTTCTTTTTTCCTTGCTGCCAAAAAGAATCTTTTCAGTGGTGTAATTTTGGGGGGAAAGTTTCAACATTCCTTAATCCTAGGAAGGAGTTACACTAGTTTTAATAGTATTGCAGCAAGTAGGCCCTTCTAGACCAACTGTCCATCGCCCCTCCCATTTTTCAAGGAGAAGTACAGGACATGTACTCAGAACTSCTGATGTCACCTCCCAACTGCTCACAGCTGACTCTGCTCAGAGGAGGTTGATGCCATTTCCCCACTCCCTGGCCAAGTACTAGCTGGAGACCTGTGSCTGGGTTGTTGACACATACTCAGTTCATGAACCAGTTATTTTTGAATGCTGCAGTCTTCTAAGTAAAATCATCCTCGTGTCTTCTGAGAATTTCAAGCTCTRCTAACAAATGAAACACATGTCAGTGTGTAGTACATTATTATTAGAAATCCATAGGGTATTGATATGTATGCTTAACTCTCTATCACTATTGATGCTTAAATGTGTTGTTTGGGTGCAGACTGTTTTAAACATGTGAGGCAAAGACTGAACTAAAAGCAAGTAAAATAATATTTTTCAAGCTATAAAATGCGAGACAAATATTTAGTTTTTTCAAATAAAGCTATTTTCATGCACRGCTTTCAGAAAAAACTTTTCAGTCTCCTGTTTTGAGACAGCCTCTTACTTTCAGATAAGTTCAGTGTCTGGTTTCCATACCTTGACRATCACAATATATAGAGTTATCCTTGTTATGCCTGACTACCAAAGTGAAAATTTGCATTCATCACTTAGTCAAGTAGTTTGTATCAAACTAATGACAGACAATCAAATGACAAAAGGATAAAGAAAATTATTTKCTGGTCAAGGTGCATATATACTACAACTTTATGCGGTTAGGTAAATGTACCTTCATCTTGGAGAGTAGAGGTGGTAGTAAATATTCTGTATTTATATCTATTGTGTAAGTAGTTGGTATTAAAAGTATTTTGGACCAGATTCTGGTATCTCTTTATTTAGTAGTATCTTTTCTGCCTAATTGTTCCATGTATTTCATCAACGCTATTAGTGTGGTAACCTTACTGTGTGCAGTCTGTCTGTTTTCAAGGAATAATTACTTTGTTTAGAATTAGTCTCTTCATTTTCCTAAGGTAGAATTTTGTAATGAGTTAGAGGTCCTGAAGCATAATGCTTGACTATAAAGTGTTTATAAAAGCAAATCACCTTCTTCATTTGTCACTGTACATTTTACAGAAATGTAAGATAATTATGTGCTCTGATTTTTAATTATTTTTTTTTCTGAGCAAGAAAACTGGCTCAATGTTGCATAGGATTTTAGGCACTTGGATCTCACCTCTGATGTGAATGAATCTTCTCTGTTGCTCCCAAGTACGTCAGAAATTATCTGTACTATGTCTATTTGTAAAAGCTCTGTAAAATGTTATTATTATACTGAGGCGAGTAAAAGACTTAGTGACTAATTGAAATTACTTATTAATTATTTTGCATACAGTTTTAACACATTGCTAATATTTAAATTTCACRTGATAGCTATTAGTGATACCTTGCTTCCTAATGTTACTAGAAATTTCTGATTTTGAGGATTGTTTTTTCCCTGCCAGGGAAGAAACAATTTTTTAAAGTCAAATATTTTTTTTTTTTTTTTTTAATATGGCTGTTACAAAATTTTAGCAAAAGAGAACTAAACCGCTTGTTTTAGAATTTGTTAGTATGTATTTTCTTTTTGAAACCTTTGACTGTGAAGCTAATTTGATACGTTTAATACAATGTGGCATGGTTAACTAATGTGCAGCAGTGCTATGTAACCGGTCTGTAAACAGGCTGAAATTAATAGCCTGAGGAAAATAAAACTCATTTCAAGAGAGTGTCAGTGCTGAAAACTAGTTCAAATAATAGCAGTATTAGCTGTTTGRCTAATTAAACTAATCTCCTTGTACATTATTAGCAAATGCAGTGACAGTTGTTCGTTATTGATATACAGAGTCTTCTTTTTCAAAAGTCTTCTTTTAAAAACAAACTTTTCGGCTGTTTGGAGTCGAGGGTGCATGAGGAGAAGGAAGTTATGCAGGCCCTTTCTAGAATCTGCCAACTTCTTAATCACCACAAATTTTTTATTATTCTTTTGTAACAGGGCCGTTAAAACACTGAGCTCTCTCTCTGAYAATGCCGGCAATGCCAAGTCCTTCGTTCAGTATTTCAGGCGTGCTAAAAAAAGGAAAACTCTGGGGCTGTCAAGATAGTAGAGCATACCTAACAGGGGATTATATGCAAAATCCTTATAACTAACACAAAGAAATACTAATTATGTGGGGGACTCTCTGTGCTACTGATGATTACTAAAGCTGTTGAGAACTGTCAGTGTGCAGTTTGCTGCTTCTGCAGAAGACTTGTAGGATTCCTGGAGTCAAAAGCCTGGCAAAGAACCTGGTGGGCTTGTGATACCTGAAACTTTGCCAGTTAGGAGAACTCAGCTGTAAACAAATTGATAAACACAGAGGTTCACACTCTTTTTATTATTTATTTTCTCTCTTTTTCTTTCTTTTTCTTCTCCCTCCTTTTTCATACCTAGATACATGTCCACAAATACATACGCACATACATAATATACACACGCTCATAAAAATACTATTTTTCATCTTTGTGATTTTTGTACTACAAAAACAATAGCTAATAAAGACAGGGGGAGGGATTAAGTGATACAGTCGTTGCACAAAGAAATGGATAAGAMATAGGAACAGATGGTTCATATCCAAGTCTATTAATTTTTTCTATTTTAGATCAATGATTTTTTTTTATCAGTTTCTGAGTGGACGATAAACATTTTGGGAAGCGTTTTGGGAAGATTTGAGTGTCACACATTGCTGAACTCATAAATAGAGACAAGGTCAGTCTGGAGGTTCATGAGCTGTAAAATCTTCTCTCCTGCAGGGAATACAGCACCTCTGACAGTAGACAGAATTAGAGAATACAAGTAAGGAAGAATGCAGAAATATTTTCCCGTGATATTTTTATGGAAGAAGAAAGCTAGGATTTTTTTAGAAAAGCCTTTTTCTTTTGTGGGAATTCTGAAGGCTCATTTTTAGGTTTTTTTTTTTTTTTGTTTGTTTGTATATGATCACTTTTAAGAGATCTTGCAAATAATTGTTTTTTGGTTTTTTAACCCTGTAGTATTCTCTCCTATCCAGACTGAATACTTTTAAGCTTGAGTTTCTGAGGAATTTTATGTTGTTGTTTTGGGGATTTTTTTTCCCTAATGCTCTGTTAGATATGCTTCAGGTATGCCAAATGGCTCAGTCCCCCAGACATCAGTTTCCTAAATCTATCSTGATTTTTGCACTTTATAGGTATCATGGGCAGTGTTTTGAACTTAGYCTAAAACTAACCTACAATTTCCAAATGGCAAGGTCTCCATTATTTTCCATTGCTCAGAGGGATGATGTTTCAAATGCTGGGTTTCAGCATGTCCAGTTTGTTCCTTCACAATATCCTTTGGCAGCTCCCTGTGGGACACTCCTGCTGATGTCCGGGTGGGGAAAGTGACTGCCTTGTACGACAGCAAAGCCCTGGTTTAGTCCATTTTTTATCAATTTTTGGTATTTCCTTCCACTTTCCAGA